CCAGTTTCCCACSATGATGCTGCCGCCACCGTGCTTCACTGAGGGGATGTGTTCGTGTGGTGGAAAAAACTTTTCCATGTCTGTTAAACTAAATACATAATTACAGCTTTCTTCGCTACAATGGTCTRTGAGTAATTTTATTGCAATAAAATAAGAGTCAACATGCGTACAGCAATACAAGCTGAGTCTGAGGACACAGCTCCAGTGAAGCATCTTTTATACTCTTCCAGTAAAAACCAGTCCAAAACCAGTTCCTCTTTGACATGCAAGGAGCGGTTCTTATCTGAGCAGCAAATATTCCTAGTTTCAGTTAAGATCCTGTTCTTTGGTTGTTCTTTACAAAGAAGAACASCTTAAAATGTGGTTGTACTTCCTGTTTTATCATCTCTTACATGTTCACATTCTAGTAGCAACAAAACAAATATTCTGCGATCCAGTTGTGCAGAAACCACAGCAGTGTGTGAATTTAAGGCTCGAAGAAATGACACATTAAAGGTGTCCTGCTGGAAACTTACAACATGAGTTAAAACAATTCAGAACAACGTGACAACACATGTGCAGTACATTACATAAGACAAAACATAGCTGAAACACTGTCATAATATAAATACATGTGCAACAATTTTATTTTCTCACATTCTAAACTGAGCTCAGAAATTCTAAARGTTCCCATCAGACTTCTCTTTCTGCTGTGTCCCAGTTCTCCTGAGGTCGTAGTTTCTGGTAGACTTATAATCATCAACTGGAACGCCCCCTGATGTCGTAGCTTTGAGTCGCGAGGTCGGTGCAACACAACCATACCCGAGCAGCCTGAGCATGTATTACATCATCATTTCAACATGGCTGCCCCACGCACGAAACTCTTTACTTTTGTGGTTTTTTAGCAGTTCAGTGTAGTTTACTTTACATTAAGTCAGACATACTTGTAGTAATTTATAGTGATTATCAGGAGATATGTTGCTGTGGCTTTGTTGCAGAGCGAAAAAACAGAAAAGCTTTTTCTGACGTTCTAAGTTTGAAACTGAAACACTTCCGACTCAGAACCAACATCAGTCCGGCGACAGTTCTGATCTGACTGGAACACAGCTTTAGTCTAAAAGTTTCTCTGATTCACCCTCCTGCTGGTTTGGGTTTGTGCAGCAGGAAGGTCACCTGCTCTGAGTTTTGTTGGACGTCCCATCGTTTGACATTCAGTTTGCTCACAGGTGGGTCTGGTTTCATATGCAGCTGCTGAAGGTCATGGGCGGGGCTTTAGGGGGTGAAAACGTATGCAAACCTAACTTTAATTATTCTTTTCCTGATGTAACCTGCATTTTCCAAGAATCACAACCTATAATCAGTGGTGGGATGTAACTAAGTACAGGTACTTTCTTGATGTACTTAAGTACATCTTTCATGTATCTGTACTTTACTTAAGTAGATTTCATCATGGCTACTTTTGACTTTTACTCCACTACATTTTACATTAAGTATCTGTACTCCATCACATTTCTGTAATGCGTTGAACATTGTACATTCATGTCACGTTGATTTATTATTTTTATTTTATTTTATTTTATTTGTGGTTGATTTTTTTTTTTTTTTTGTTAGAAAATAATCAGTGGCGAGAGGGGGAATTGCTGTAATTGGTCCATTGAACAAAGCAGGAAAGTACCATCACACCCTCCTTCATGAAAAAGCGGAGCAGCAGCAGCGTGCCCATAATGGTTTCCACCACGGAGGAAATGTGCCGTTCATGGTCTTATTTAACTGGTTCAAAAAAATGACTTGTTGAGATTTGATAGAGGAGGTTGGTGGTGAYTTTACATCTTCTGCAGCTGTTGTCACAATATGTGATGATGCAGAATCACAAGTCCAAGTGTGAACAGTGTCACAGAGGGTTAACACAAAACTYTGCATTATCTGCAGCTTTGTTCACTAAAATGGCTCCATTGATGTATTAAAATATACATACAGTAGGCACACTTCATGATATTGTAGACCATTAGGGAATACATTAAYCAAGTACTTTTACTRTTAATACTTTAAGTATTTTAAAAGCAATTACTTACTTTTACTCAAGTAAAATGTTAATGTGGTACTTTTACTTTTACTAGAGTACATTCTTATCTGTTTATCTGTACTTTTACTTAAGTACAGTGTTTGAGTACTTTCTCCACCACTGCCTATWATCCAATTAAGAATCTATTTAAATTAAAACAAAAACAGAAAATGAAGAGCAGTGAAACTTCTGCAATCTTGTGTTTGTTCAAGGACTTTACAAACAAAATATATTTAAAATACAAACTGTGTGCAGTAACAGCTGTGAGGTGCAGGGACACAAAGGTTTCTGCAGTCCCAACAATCTGATGCATAAAGCAGCAGCAGCAGCAGATCTGTGAGGCGTGCRGCCTGCCGGCAGCGCTCAGCTTTCAGCTCATTGTTTACAGCAGTCAGACAGAGAAGTAAACACAAGTCCCACTGAGACACACAGGAACTCATTACATTTATTTAATTGGTCGTTAGCAGCAGCTTTTCACTTTTGTCTCATTTAAAAAAGAAACTTTTAAAACAATACGATTATAAATATATATACTGTAAGACACGATGACCTCGTGGTATTTCACATATAAATTAATTTGGTCTCATCGTTAAAAATATAGAATCATTTAAAGAAATGTTTCAGTTTTTAAGTGGCTTCAGTGTAAAAGTGATACAGCTAGCTGCTAAAACAAGAACGTGACAGAGTACACACCTGATAAATACAGGGCAACTTCTACCACAGCCTGATCCCTAAATAACAGGTAAGTATCTGGTAAGTACAAAGTATATAGCAGATACATACCCAGTAAGTACAAGTTAATTAATCTGGTCAGTACCAGGTGTAGGTAATTACTTAGTACATACTGGATTACATGTAAGTATCAGGTATTTACTGACAGAAGAGGTACCAGATATGTACAAGATATACAATCCATTTATACCCAGAAAGTACTTAAATAAAGCAGTAGTACATAGCCTGTAAGTATAACAATTAGGAATCAGATGCATAGTAGGCATGTACTAGGTATCAGTTATGTAATATTACATACAAAATAAGTACCAGGTTTACCAGGTAATTATTCAGTGTTTATAAACTCAAGATAAGCTATGTATTAAGTATATACCTGAAAAGTACTTAATAACCAGTGTATATCTCTAAAGTACCCAGTAGGTACTTGTACATAGCTTGTAAGTATAAGTGCAGCATTAGGTAAGTATGAAGTAGGTATTTCATATACYTCATATACTTATATACTTACTGAGTAAGTATAAAGTATGTATCCAACATAACTTAAAAGTACCCAGCAACTGGTGTATATACCCAGTAATTACCAGTTACATACCAGGTGTGTATCTGGTATGCAAGATCAAGTAAAGTACAAGGTATATATCTGGAAAGTGCCCAGGTACTGAAGCAAATACATAACCTGTGAATACCAGTCAAGTATTTGGTACAAACCAGGTAAGTATTGGGTATTTAATATTGRATACCCAGTGAGTATCAGGTGTACTGTGTAATTATTTAGTACTTACCAAGAAAGCATTGTGTAAGTACAAGGCATACTTTGTATTTACCTACCCAACCATATCCAGTATGTGGGTGGAAAGGACCCATTAAGTACTAGTACATACCCTGTTAGTGTTTGTTGAGTATCAAGTATGTACTAGTAGTGTACCGAGTATCACCTGTCTAGTTTGCATTTTAAAATTTTTTTTGTTTCTGTCAAGAACACAAATATCTTTATAATCATGACTTATTTTACTGTTTTGTTTGCNGTACTTGTAAATTTGATTCTTACTTGTAAATTTGATTCGTACTTGTAAATTTGATTCGTATTTGTAAATTTCATTCGTACTTGTAAATTTCATTCGTACTTGTAAATTTCATTCGTACTTGTAAATTTGATTTGTATTTGTAAATTTGATTTGTACTTGTAAATTTGATTTGTACTTGTAAATTTGATTCATACTTGTACATTTGATTCGTACTTGTAAATTTCATTCGTACTTGTAAATTTCATTCGTACTTGTAAATTTGATTTGTATTTGTAAATTTGATTCGTACTTGTACATTTGATTCGTACTTGTAAATTTGATTCGTACTTGTAAATTTGATTTGTACTTGTAAATTAGATTCGTACATGTAAATTTTATTCGTATTTGTAAATTTGATTCGTATTTGTAAATTTGATTTGAACTTGTAAATTAGATTCGTACTTGTAAATTTGATTCGTACTTGTAAATTTGATTCATACATGTAAATTTGATTCGTACTTGTACATTTGATTCGTACTTGTACATTTGATTCGTATTTGTAAATTTGATTCGTATTTGTAAATTTGATTCGTACTTGTAAATTTGATTTGTATTTGTAAATTTGATTTGAACTTGTAAATTTGATTCGTACTTGTAAATTTGATTCATACATGTAAATTTGATTCGTATTTGTAAATTTGATTCATACTTGTACATTTGATTCGTACTTGTACATTTGATTCGTACTTGTACATTTCATTCGTACTTGTACATTTCATTCGTACTTGTACATTTGATTCGTACTTGTACATTTGATTCGTACTTGTACATTTGATTCGTACTTGTACATTTGATTCGTATTTGTAAATTTGATTTGTATTTGTAAATTTGATTTGTACTTGTAAATTTGATTTGTACTTGTAATGTGGCAAAGTTGTAACAAATTTATGTACGTTTATAGACTTACATGTCCAAATTTAGACTCTTACACATACAATATTCTGACAGTTATCTTATCCCATAATTTTCTTAAAATAAAAATCAAATGAACAATTCATTGAAGATTTTTGAGGACCCCCCAAGATACGACTCGCGGACCCCTGGGGGTCCTGGGACCCCAGTTTGAGAACCTCTGGTTTACATCATTTGAACAGCCCCATCCCTTGACTGTTTCAAGATGGCGTCGCGCTTAGCATATCTTGGCCCCAGCCTCTTGACGTGGGTAGCCTCTCTAGTGTATATAATACACCTCATTGGTTTTATTAGTACCGCACCTCCTACAGATGGGAGTCTGGAGGAGGTGCTAATCTCCAACTGTCTTTTTTTACTTCCTGCTCCTCCTTCCTTTGAACCAGTTAGCTTCAGCGTTAGCCTGGGAGTCAGCGCTCTGCATGAAGTTGACTGATGTTAGCTCGGGGTCCACGGTGACACCTGAGCCCCAGGAGGAGAGGGGATGTCCCGTCACATGTCCCCCGAAGACGAGGGGATAAGACAGCCTCTTCTCACCGGAGATCACCTGGATCCAAGCGGACTGGACTCTGAAGGTCTGTGCTCCGTGTTCCGGACCACTATGCACCAACACATTCACACTTTGTTTACTTTTATTATTTACTGTGTTTACATGACTTCTAAAGTTCTTCACCGCTACAAATGTTCCAGATGTTCTTCTGATCTTTTCGTTTTGATAAAAACTTTCTTGGGTTTGTTTGGGATTTCCGTTTGACTGCAGGTTTGTTTGTTTGTTTGTTTGTTTGTTTGTTTGTTTGTTTGTTTGAATAAATGTCAGTCCAGAGTCTGGTCCACTGGTTACATTGTATCAGTGCTGATAAGTTCACATCATCAAGGTTTCTAGTCACACAGAGCAAAGCTGCTTTTTGCTTTAAAGGAAAGTTACAAAGTCAGGAAGACAATTTAAAAACATCAGCAGGGGCGCCAGCAGGGGGGGGGGGCAGCTGCCCCCCCAGTGCCCCCCCAGTTTTATCCTCTTGAGTACCCAGGTTTTTCCTTTTTAAATTCCCCTACCTATTTAGGAATAGAAC